AAAACATCTCAGTACACACTGAGCCCTTCGTTAGGAGCAAGTAGTAAAACAGGCATTAGAAGAAAAGCAGCAATAAATAAATTAATAAACAAAATAATAATTACTCCAGAATTCTATATGATATTAGAAACCATTGACTTAGGATAAAATAAAATTCCTATCAACTCATGAGCACTGGACAGAATTTAGGACCAGGAATAAGTAGTGTGTGTGAAAATTGAAAGAGACATCTTTTGCAGGTGCACTGAGTGGCTGAGTTTGAGTTTGAACATGTAGTGGATGTCTGGCGGCAACGGCATTTCCATGGGGTGACAGAGGGAGGAGGAACTTCAAGTCTGTGGGAGGACAAGAGTAAGCCAGAAAATATTTACTTACTTCTGGATCTAAGTATTAAATATGTGCTAAAAAGGAACACATGTTCAGAGAAGCCAAACTTTAAGGCCATGCCATGGAAAAGCTGGCAATTCTGTATGATCATTCCACATGTGTGATGTGTGCGGAATAAGGATTCAGTACCATGTAAACACAAAAACATTTTAATAATAATAAATGTAAAAACACATTTTGTTTACTTTTATATATTTGTGCTGTGGAGTGCACCTAGGATTTTATGTGAACTAGTGAAATTTTTTAGCACTGAAGTGCATCCTCAGCCCTAACTGAATTTTTAAAAAGACTTATACACAGGCCCAAACAGACAGAGTTCTCACAAGCAGAACAGGAGGCAATAGATCGCGTGCAGTGATGTCAGAATTCACAGTCACGTGTGGTGACAGAGAGCAGAGCTATGACTCTCAGAGGAGCCGGCTCTGCACCAGTGCTCCAGGTGACACGTTTTCCTGAAGACCAGCCGAGGCAGAGGAGAAGCTCTAGGCCTGAGAGGGGAGCAGGCAGGGGAGAGGATGAGCTCAGCGAGCGAAAACACAGCAAGATGAAGGGTCCACATCAGGGCCCAAGTGAAAATTGGGCATTTCTGGGGTCCCTCTGGGGATTAAATGAGGATTTCAGTTCCTGGAGATCACTCCAGCAGGTGAGCAAGAGGACTGGATTCAGTTCAGCACCTCTGGAAACAGAACCATCCCAGGCATAACAAGTAAAGCATTATGGAAACAAGGAAAACCCATTAATAGTTTTCTACAATTCTCAAATGTTCATGGTTCAACTAAACCATATTTTTTTTCATTTCTGTCAGCATGGAGAAAGTTCTTTTCAAAAGCATTTGCTTTTCTGTGCCTGGCAAATGTCACTACATAGTGGCCCGGCCTCGTGCATTTGTCCCGGATGACAGGCCTCCTCTGCTTCTGTGGCTGAGTAATATCACATGGCCTATAGCGCCACAATGTATTTAGTCATTCTTCTGCAGACTGAGCCGTAGATCAGTTCACTCTCCTTTCTGGTTTGAATAGTGATGCCATGGAATGCAGATGATTCTTCATTATGCGGCCTTCAGTTCCTTGGTTACACACTCAGAAGTGGGAATGACTGATCCCGTGGTAGTAGTTACAGTTTAACCCATGCTGTTTTCCCCAGTGGTTGCACTAATGCACAGCCCATGATGGGCTTCAGGGTTCCCTCCCCATACCATTTTCCACATTTCTTATCTTTGCATTTTCTACACCAGCCATTCCAACAATGGTTATGTTCAGATCCCTGTACATGGTCTCAATCGAATTTGGAGCCTAAAGGAATTGATCTGATTGAATTAAAAGGAAAAAGAGGTAGAGACCAGATGTGATCAGTGATACAGGGATGGTGTTGAAAGATGGTGGAAAAAGCTAAATTTAGCTACTCTGCCATGTCCATATACTTCAGAATATCTCAATTTACTAGTACACACACGTCCCCTTAAGTACAGTATATATATTTCAAAATATATAACATGAATTTGACAACACTGACACCCCATAAGACTTTTATGCAATTCAATTTCTTTCTGAAAACGAGTAGGAGCACACCACTATCTCTTCCCAGTGCAAGCCCATGTAAGGGACAAGGTGATCATGTTCCAGCTTCTCTGCAGCCCCTTCAGGATCCCACAGCAGAAACTGGATAGCAGTGCACAGTCTCCAGCTCAAAGCCATCTGTGCACCCACTGCATTCATTTTAAAATCCAAGCATCAAAGAGTGCCTAAGCCAACAAACACCAAGAAATATGCAGACCAAACAAGACTGGACAACACTTAGCGAATGGTTTCTTTGGATTTTCATAGTCAGGACACTGTCTCTATTAAGAAATCCAATACATAGATTTTCTCATGACTTCTCTTTACTCTATTTAAGTGTGAGATCAAAGAAAGCTTGTATAACTTCTTCATGAGTCAAATTCTAGAGCTGAGTTCCCCTCTCCTGTAAAGGGGAGATTGGATGGGAAGTAGAATCCTCCTGCAGTGTCCTCTCGGACACCGCACAATCTGGAGGTGCTGTCCCTGCAGCTCTGCCTCCCTACAGGTTGGTGCAGCCTTAGGGAGGCAGTGAGGAGGCAGGCCCTGGCCTCAGGGGACCCTGGCTGTGTCCTGATGAAGCTCTAATCTCTCCATTGCTCAGCCCGGAGTCTCTGCTCCACCATCCCCTGCACTCACTACACAGGGATGCAGTCTTTACCCCCATTGATCAAGTGCAAATTGTGTGTGAATGGTGACAACACTTGGTCTAGAGATGAGGAGAGAGAGGTGTGGCTGGAAGCTCACAAGCAGGCCCAGGCTCCACAAGTTTGAGCTGTAAGCAGCAGGCAGCATTTGAGCCATCACAACACAGCTGCTCTGCTGCTACGCTGAATCATTTGTGTTCCTGTGCATTATCATGATAGCTGTCTGTTAACTTGTTCATCATTTATGGTGCATGTCATTTTGAAGGAGGAAGTCTCCAGTTTGCACATTCCTTCTGTTCCATACATGCTGTTAATCCACTGAGTCTTCTCCACAACTTGAGAGTGAATATGACTGGTTGCATTTCAGTGCTTGAGGGAGAGGATCAAGGTATAAATATACCGTTTTAAGTCCTCAGGGTCACTGTGTCAGGTCAGAGAGGACTCAAGTAGTATTACTCCAGATATATCATTCTATCCATCACCCTATCCCAGCCGCCCAACCATAAACATGGTGGTCACAACCAGTATCCAAACCTCACTCTCAGATTAAACCATTTTTCTGTTTGGATGGAAATGAGCACACTTGATAGTCCTGACCACATTCTCACAAGCACTCTGTTCAGCACTGGCCACTAGAATCTCTTTCAGGTATCGAGAGGGCTAATGACTATTTTTTCCCAAGATCTACTCATTCTTACTGAAGCTCAGGCACTATTTGCCCCTCACATGTGGTAAGACTTTTCCTGACTCTCCAGAATGCTGGATGATTATGCATATCCAAGTTAATTCAAACACTGGATCTGAAATATCCATAAATTGGAAAACTATGAATTATATTTTATGAAACTTCAACTCATATTTTTGTCAGTGTTTTTATTATTTATTTATTTATTTATTGGTGCCAGCGAACGAATTCGGGCCTCTGCACTTGTGAGGCAGGTGCTGGAACCACTGAGCTAAATCCTGGCCCTGTCAGTGTTTGTAAATAATTTTCTTTCCAAAATTATGGCATATTTTTTAAATTAGTTTATGCATTCCCATTCATGAGATAAAATATGTTCTTCAAATGTGGCATATAAAAAATATTTGCCACGTATGTAACCATATGTCTTATAATGAATTTTTTTAAAGATGACATGGAAATGAAATAGGTATCAGTTAAGAAAGGAGATAAAGCATTGGGAAGACCTTTTAGTCTACGTGGGTCTGTAAAAACATTATGGCAGATTCTGTAGTGCAAAAAGGCCTAGAAAATTATATCCAACTCCATACTCCATACAGTGGTCAATACCAAAGCCAAACAACAGGAAACTGCAGGGCTGCCCAGCTTGTTGAAGTAAGAATGTGAAGGCATCATGGGATAGAATCCTGTGGGTGAAGGCTTACACACTGGTGTAGGAAGCCAAAGCCAAACAACAGGAAACTGCAGGGCTGCCCAGCTTGTTGAAGTAAGAATGTGAAGGCATCATGGGATAGAATCCCGTGGGTGAAGGCTTACACACTGGTGTAGGAAGGGAAAGGGCTCAGTGTGTGAGAGAAGAGCAGAGTAGCACTCTACGGAATTTACCTAGGGTCACATTAGGATGCAGAAAGGTCACTTCTTTGTCTACACACAAAGAAGTGGAAAGCAGTGTGTGTCTAAAGTGGTATTAGACATGAATGTGCACAGCAGCATTAATCAGAATAGCAAAAATATAGAAAGATGTGTGCATCTAGTGGGGGATGAATATATACATGTACTTTTACAAGTGTACAGATAATGACATGATGAATGCTGAAGGCTAATTTGGTGTGAGGAAGTTATATAAAAAGAGAGTAGAGCGGGTATTTCCATGATGGGGAACAATAAAGAGATGTGTACAGAACAGACTGAGTTTGCAAGATACAAAGATTCACAATGTGGCTGGTGGCTCTACGTGTAAAACAGCAGTGTACTTCATTACTGAATTGCATTTTTCAATGCTTATGAGCTGGTAAATATTATGTATTGTCAATGTTAGTATAAGAAAGTTTTGGAAAAAAGAAAAAGTGTGGTTTGCTTAAAATAAATGCCAATGATGCTCTCTTTCTGGCAGAAAACTTTCCTAAGGTATGCAGCTAAAATGAACACATCATAAGAAAATGCAAATGTACATTAATGGGAAAAAGAAAAAGAAATGGAAAAGTCATGTTTAACCTAAAAAAATGTATCCTTTTTCTTCTAACCATCTACAGTGGACCATCAAATTACTGCTGACCTGATTATGAACAACTTGGGTTTATCAGATTACTGGACGATTCATAAGCTTTCATTATCTGTAGTGTGGACCCAGGTAAAGATCTAGATCTCAGCTGTACTGACTTAGTTACAAGTAGCCTTTGCTGACCCACTGAGTTCCTAAGTTAAGGATCAACTGTATTAAAGACAGACACCATGGAAAGAGGTAACATGAGTTTTCCGAACACTTTTGTCCTGTTGTGCTTCTCAGAGTTTCCCTGGCTGGAGAGGCCCCTTTTTGCAGTGGTCCTGGTCTCCTACATCCTCACCCTAATGGGCAACAGCTCCATCATCTTCCTCTCCCTGGTGGAGCCCAGACTCCAGACACCCATGTACTTCTTCCTGGACAACCTCTCTCTGCTGGACCTCAGTGTGACCTGCGCCATTGTGCCCCAGCTGCTGACCAACTTGTGGAGACCAGACAAGACCATTGCTGCCTGGGGATGTATCACACAGGTCTATATTTTCAGCTGGACATCTTGCACTGAATGCATCCTACTGGCTATGATGGCCATTGATCGCTATGTGGCCATCTGCTGGCCCCTCCAGTACACACTCTTCATGCGACCCTTGGTGTGTGTGCAGATGACAGCTGCCTCCTGGTCCAGTGGCCTGGCCAATGCTCTGATCCAAGCCACTGTCACTCTCCATCTCCCCCTTTGTGGTCACCACACCCTGGACCACTTCTTCTGTGAGATACCTGTGTTCCTCAAGCTGGCCTGTGGGGACACCTCTGTTCATGAGCTGGCCCTGGCTTTAGGATCCATCCCTTTTCTAATGGTGGCTCCCCTCATGGTGGTCATCTCCTACATACTCATTGCTCAGGCTGTACTGAAGTTTCCTTCAGCTGAAGGAAGGCGCAAGGCACTCAGCACCTGCATTTCCCACTTGCTGGTGGTCACACTATATTATGGACCAGGCATCTTCATGTACTTTCAGCCTCTTAGCAAAAGTTCCCAGACCAAGTTCCTTTCCTTATTTTACTGTGCTATCACCCCACTGCTCAACCCACTCATCTACACTCTGAGAAATAAGGATGTGAAGACAGCATGGGAGAGGATCCTGCAGGTGAAGTCTTTAGAAGCCAGGTGATCTCTGCCTGTTTCCTGGAGCAAGCATGTGTGTGCAGCATTACTACTGGCTTGTCTGGTTTTCAAACTGAGTGTCCATGACTTCATAGAAGTGAGATTACCTCTCAAAATATTAATGAGTTCACAGAAGAGACTTTAGTGCCTAGAAAATTGTGTTGTCTGTGATCTGAAATAGAACCATTATTCTCTGATCTTGACCATTCCTAAAGGTTTGCTCTGCAGAGGCCACACATCGATGGGAAGAGATACCTGCATCCATGGTCCCTGCCACACTATTGACAATAGACAGGGTGTGGAGTAAAACTAAGCATCCACCAGAGGATAAATGGAAAATGAAATGCAGCGTGTAGACACAAAGGACAGCTATTTGAACATATGAAAGCAAATACTTCCATTTGTGGTAACAGTAATGGAAATGGAGAACTCCATGAGTGAAATAAGCCAAACACAGAAAGACACTGCCAATTCCCAAATCTGCATGGAATATGGGCAGTTAACTTTAAAACAGAAGCTATTACAAGTGGTTGCCGTTTGAGGAAATGAAGAGAGGGCCATTAAAGAGCAATGCCTGAGGCACACCCTATGTTTTATTTTATACATTTTTATCAATTCCTGAACCCAGATGTTAGGTAATTGAGTTTTGGAAAAAGTCCCCCCTTCAACTACATAATGAATTCCAGGCCTCAATTTAACAGGAAGTAAGGGAGTCAAATATACTTTTTATCTCAAAGAACATTGAGTTTTTTATTTGAACATATCTTTTTAAATTTTTTCTAGATTTCTTGTTTTATGAATGTCACATATTTTGAAATAGTCTATAAGATTCAAAAGAGCTTTTCTGATTTCCCTAACAATGTCTGACATTTGTGAGGCCCGGCAACCTTTATAAGATGCTCACTGTGTATTTTATCACTTGGTACATTTGCGCAGAAACAACCTACATCAAGAAAAGTTTTGGAAAATCTGCCCTTTTTTGTGTTTGAATAATATCTCTAAAAATGTATTCCTGTGACATCCTTCTCACTTTTGGATTATAACTCAAAAAGTGTATTAACAACCAGATGAGATGGATAGGCGAGGCCATGGCCCCAGGCTGATGGATGGGGAGGATGAGAGGGAGGCCTCTTGCATCTCAACCTGTTTGCTTTGGAGGAACCAGGCAACACAGCCTTCGGTGTCTTCTACCTAAGGTCTCTGCTCTTTCAGTGCTCTCTGCCACAGTGATAGCTCTCCATGTGTCCCATTTCTGGAGGGGAATTTTATTCCAGCGATACTTTTTGGTGTTATTCAGGTTGAGAATATTCTTAATGACTGGAGTAGAAGCGAGGTTGTCAAATTGAGTGGAGAAGGTGAACTCATGGGCAATTTGCCCCGGGTCTTTCAGGTAGATGCATTACAAAATAGCACGAGGCGAAAGCTGAAGCATTCTTTCTGTGAAGGTTAATGTCAATTTTGAACTTGATTGGCTTGAGAGTTGCCTGAGTCAAAAGTTTCCTCCAAGGATTAGCAACCTCTTAGCTGTGAGCCCCCATAAATTTCTCAAAACATGTTTCAGAAATCCAAAGTTCAGTGGCACAGGGTGAACATCCCATTCCAAAATAGAGAAACAGTAATATAGAAAGGTTTGGACCATGGAAATCGTGGAACCCAGTAGGGCAAACACAAGATCTGGTAGGTACCTCCCTGTCCTGCAAAGACAGCACATGGTAGTGCGATGTGAATTTCACAGGCCTGTGTGGCTCCATCCATGGCCTTTCTGGTTTCAGTAGACTTGGGGCTCATGGATGGATGGCTCTACATGCTTTCCTCAACAGGCATTCCATGTTCCTTGCATCTCCAAGTTGCTTCAGTCCCACTACACCATCAACTTCATTCCACAACTTCACACACATCCCTCTTAAGGACATTGTTTGGTCTCATGCAAGTCTCTTGGAAATCTGTAAGGAAGCCTCCAGGACCCATCTACTCTTTCTTTCCTCCTGTATAGAATAAAACTGGGTGTGTGGACCATATCAACATCTGATACAGCAGTAGCCATGCCCCCTAGGAACATGGCTGAAGAGGTCTCTGAGTGATGGGAGCTGGACATAGTGAAGTGAACAAGAGGAAGTAGTTCTCTGGAAGAGCCTGCTCACTCAGGATTCCCAGGGCCTCTACATTCAGGTGAAAGGTTACACCTTTGCCCATTTGTATCTGAGATCAGTGGGACCCATTTCCTGGGAAGCCCTCAAGCCATCTTTTTCTTTTTCAGGGTTTAAGTACAGGACTTCCTTTTAATGGTGCTAAACTGGTCATCAACTACACATTCTTTGTCTCCTAGATGATATTGGGGGTAAATTTTTCAAATCTTTCTGCTCTGATTGTTTTTTCTGAGTCTCAGAATAAAGCAGGTGTCAGTACACATGGCTCGGCCTGAATATTAGGATGCCTTGAAATTTCCTCTGAAAATCAATTTGTCTACCACATTTAGTCTCAGCCTTCACACACAGCCTTAGGACATTGATAAATTGTCAACAAATATTTTGACAGTGTGTAACATGAATGGCCTCTAGTCCAATCCTGAACAGAGTCCTCCTTTCCATGGGATACTTCAGGAGTCTGGCCTCAGTTTGACCCTTTCCTTTCAGAGTTGGATCTTCTGGGCTGTGGTCAGAATTACCTAGCAGGCTAGGTATGGTGGCACACATCTGGAATCCTAGCACTCTGGAAGTCTGAGACAGGAGGATCACAGATTCAAGCCCACCTGGGAGAAACTTGGTGAAACCCCATCTCATAATAAAAATACAAACAGCCAAGGGAGGAGCTCAGTGCAAAGGACCTGGTTTCAATCCGCAGTAACAGAAAATAACAAAGTATTCAAATGATCAGTAGGAAAACAAAACATGCTCACATTCACTAATTGTAAGGATAAAATAAACCAAAACCATCATATCATAGCACTTCACACTTCTAGAAATGGCCATGACTAAAGACAAGATATAGGCTGTGTTGGGCATGAAGGAGGAGAAGCCCTGCACACTACTGGTAGAAATGTCAATTAGTACAGACACGATAGAAAACATAGCACAGATTTCTCAAAATATTAAATGTAGAAACGCCTCAAGCCACAGCTGTAACACTTCTGGATATATAAAACAAAAAACAATTAATTCAGGACCCTGAGGAGAAATCTGTACTCGCCGGTGCTTGCAAAAATAAGACTTGGAAGTAACTGTTTTGTGGGCAGATGAACCAATGAATACAGAAATGTTATATAAATATATAGGTATGCATGAGGAGACATCACTAACTCTTAAAAATGAGGTACACAATGTATCTTGTGACAATGTGGAAGAGCTTGGATTCATCATGCTACTCAAGGAGTTCACACAGAGAAAGATTAAAAGTGCATGATATCATATATTTGGATTCTAATCCAGCCAGATCATAGAAACACAGAGCAGAACAGTCTTTGCCACGGGTAGAGCATATAGGCAATGGGATCAAAAGCCACAAAGTTTTCTTTATACATAAAAATAAATTCTGGGTATCTAATGTACTGAACAATTACTACAGTTAATATACTCTATTATATACCTGCCATTTCATAGGAAATATGTTGACCATTTTCATTTCAAAATTTGTGACTATGTGAGATGATATCTTTGTAATGATTATGAAACAATCATTTCAAAATATATGGATATGTGAAAACATGTATTTGTGTATTTTAAATATGCACCATAATATTAATTTACTTTTCACTCTAAAAACTTGGGGAATACTTAAATGTAAATTGTAGTGTTCAGGTTTCTTCATACCCTTGCTGGCCATTTGTCTATTTTATTTTCCAAAATTGATGTTCATACCACTTGCACATTTTTAATCAAGTTATTTTATTTTGAAATATTATGTATAATTACTCTAAATACTTTGAGTCCCTTGTGTATTCTGTGTATTACACCCAACTAAATAAATAGTGCACTAATATTTTCTCTCATTTTATAGTTTAAATTTGCAGTAACTCCTTTTGCGGTGAAGAAGGTCCTATAGCATTTGTTTTTCTAAATTATTTTTACATTTTAGGTATACATTATTATGACCTTCATCATTGAAAATGTGTACCTTTACATAAACTATCTTGGTTCTTATTTTTCTCCATTCCCCTGACTTCCCTTCAACCCCTCCATCCCTCCAAATTTACAAGACTTTGTTTCCATTTTTTATTTTGTAATATTAATTCCATTCCCCTCTTTCCTCTCAGCTGCCCCATCCATTTCCCCTTCCTCTTTGCCCCATTTCATCCTATTCTATTGTATTTGTGACCATTTTGCAAGCAAGCAAGCCTACATTCTTCTTTTGAAGCACAGTAATATTGCTTTCAAGGAACGTTCACGTTTTAAGGCTAAAAAGCAGTTGAGATACTATAAAAATGTAATGCCAAAGCTAAGGACTTCGACAGTCAAAGACAATTATCAAGTCCATCAGACTGTTGCAAATGATGCAAGTCATTTAATCATTTTGTGTTGCAAGCATTCTGAATCCAGCAGAGAGGACTCCTTTCACAGACAGCTGTCCCTTGCTCCTTCTCTGGCCTCAGCCACCCTCCCTGCAGACACTGCCCTTGCTGCACTCTTTCTTACTCACAGTCGTCACAGCTGATGCCCCCTGGGGACACAGAGCCCTCTCTGAGTAAAAGTAAAGTCTCTGCCTCTCCACACCAAACCAGCTGGACTGGGTCCACAGGATGCTGGACAGGCAAAGGGGACCTGAGACCACAGGGGCAAAAGGGCCTCTTCCATGGGTCACACCTGTGTTGTCTTCCAGTGAAACTGGGTGAACACAGAAGGAGTTGGGGGAGATAGTTAGACGTGGTCTGAGCCTATGATGCAGACACCTTGTGATGACTCTCTCCATGCTGGGCTTGCACAAGCTCTTTCACATAAAATTAACTGTGAAGTTTTTAAACAAATATTCTCCCAGGGGTGGTGTCACTCTTCCCCTGTGAACAATATTCAAAAG